CGAAAATCAGACCTGAAAAAAAATCCGGCCTGTACGGGATTCGAACCACTGATTTTTTTCAGGTCTGATTTTCGCTATTGCATAAATGGCGCTCTCTACTGCGAGGATCGTGCATCATACGTATCTACAACCGCAGTTCAAATTCATATATTCATATATTCATTGTATCCTATTTATTTTAAGTTAACTAATGAAAGAGAGGTAACTGTACACCGTAAATAGCATATCCGCATAGCTTATCTGGGCGATGTAGGGTTAAGATATATACAACATAAAATAATAAGTATGGGAAAACATATACATGTACATATGTGGTAGAAAATTAATGTATAAAGAGAGGGCAGGATCACTGCACACAAAACAAAGGAATTAGATAAAATCAATACACGGAAAAGGAGGCGAAAAGATATAATTTACAATAAAAATATTAAGCTTCTAATTAAGAAATAGTTTATCAGCGAGATTATATACATCAGCATAAACCCCCTCATGCACTAAAAACAGTAACAATTCAGTCTAAAGGTGTTTTTTTAAATGATTGCTTTGGATTGGATTGCCTTTGAAGGGACCCAAGTAGTGCGAACAGAACCGGTGGCGAGTGGGGATGAGGTACTGCCAATGCCGAAAAGTATCGGGGTCACAATCCAACATGGCGTCCATGGTTAGAGGTAGTTGCTGCAGGCTAACCAGGCTGAGAGGTGTGTCAAGGACACTTTGTAAACTTTATATTAGTACAGATGTAACAAAGAAAGACCGTATTTTGGACAGAGTGAAAAAATTTGTTTTTGGAGAGGGACCACCTCCGGAAGAGGATGAAACACCCGAGAGGTAATTTGCACGTGTGAGCGAGGAAGTAATTTGAGTTGACGTACTTTGGAAAAAAATTAGAAAATCTTTTCACGCTTCGATAGCTTGTTGGAGTTGGTATATTCTTGCGGCTTGTTTTTGAATTTTGTGCAAACTTACCCAACTTAGCTAGAAATGTGATTCTAATTGGTCTTTGTGCTTTTTTCAATAATTTCAGTTATTTTCAATTTGTAAAAGTTGAAAAACCAGCTGTGTACAGCATGAAAAAAAAGGAAATCGTGGATAGATTAGGAAATATTATCACAGAAGTTATGCCTGACAACGAAAAATGGAGAAATCAGTCAATTAAAGATTTGGTTGTTAAATACAAGGTATGTAGATATCACCAAGAAATCTGCTTTAAAAGTAACATTAGTTATTATTTCTGTTCATTTTGGCTGCTTTCAATGAAAGAAATGGGGATATAGTCTATAAGGGAGTTAGCTTCAAAATTTTCACAACATGGTTCAAAGTATAAACCCTTGGCTCATCCTCGGTGTAAAAACCTGTGAAGCTCATGAGTGACGTAAAACAAAGACAACAAAACATTATAAACAAAAGCGTACAGCAAAACAATACCTCATGAAACAAAGAAAACCTCATCAGGAGGATGACCCGAACCTTTTTACTCCCAGTAGTGACCAAAACATACTTTCTCCCTTCAGAATCCATACATTATCAAGTGCACCAGTGATGAGAATAAAGAAATATCAAAATGTTTTATATTATTTGATCCAACACTTAATTCTCTGAACTAAAATTGTAAGCAATGTAGAATAACAGTATCAGGAATTACTTATTAAGAGATCTTGAAGTGAAAGGATTAATTACTGAGGCAAGTTTCATCCCCCATAAGGTGTGTTATAAATGCACCTTTTGAAATATTATCAGAGGTCTTAACCCCTTCACTCCCAAGATCATATTACTAATTCTCCTTACTGTCTCCCATACAATTCTTATGATGTTAGATGGGAGAATTTGGTATTGGATCAACTAATAGTCCTCTAATTGACATTTTTCTGTATTCTCATCACTAATCTGCTTGATTTTGTGTTGATAATGTAAGGAGAAACTCTATCTTGGTCACATAAGGAAGTTTAAGGGGTTAAGGCCAGTCATGAGTGGAACATGTTTTTCATATTGTTCTGTTAATAAATTAAAACAATAATTGCAATTATTGACTATCGATGTTTTTATATTCTCTCTCTAGATTCTCAACAAGTGTTATGAGGAGTTTGGTATTTTGGTTCCCAATTTCCAGTTAAATGAAATGAAAAGTGTAGGGGATGTTATCAAATTCTACACAACAGCTAAACCTGAAGACAAAAGGACATTCAAATCTATTAACAAAAAAAAATTACCACGCAACTTATCCATCGGTGGATCTCTACCCCTCAAGAAAGTGTCCGTAACGTGAAATAGGAATATTGTATAACCCCAACAATGGGCTATGGAAAAGTTAGAGGGGAGGGGGAGGGGAAAGGGCTTATTGCAGAGGATGGGCTTTTTAGAAACTAACATTCTGGACAGATGAAACATCAGGTTAAATTTAATGGTTTTTCTACACTAGACTGACGTGTTAAAACTGAGGATTAATGTTCACAATGCCCTTCACAGTTCTTTCAGCCTTGCTTTTGTCAGAAAACAGCTGACTAACACTCACAAACTCTTTACTAAGTAATGGTTTACAAAAACAATATTACCATGTCTCTTCACCTCAGCCTGTTTCAATTTACATCTACACTGTTCACAGTGTGAATGGCCATTTGATCAAATAAATCTCCTCAATGAAAATTTATTTGTAGCACTGATAAGATTTTGTGACTAATGTTGTAAAATTATAATCCAACTTGAAGGTTTAGCTCTTTGACTTGATTTACAAGATGAGAAATCACTTCACTCCTACAAAAGATAAGCAAAAGTCTTTATGGTATAAAACAGCTTACAAGTTACATGTACTTGTGTTGTTACCATCATCATGAAATGAAACAAAGACACAGATTTATTTTCTAAACCAAAGTAAAGTTTTTGTTAGTTTGTGGCAGGTTGAGGTGCTAATATACTAAGCATTCAGAAGCACAAAGAACATACGATCTTGAACAAGGAAGCAGAGAAGGTTTGGGGAAAATCTGAGTGTGGTATTCCAAATCAAATGGGAAACAATCTTGAGACATGATCAAATTTCTATTGCTCCTATTTAAATAATGATGTACAGCAATAGGTATTTATACATAATTGCAACTGGTGTTGTACTCACTCTTCTGTTAGCACTTTTCTTATTTTACTCTGCTGTGATGTATTAACAACCAGTAATTTTGAAGATGAAGACTTCCTTGGATTTCTCTCAGAGTACAAGTGTTTAGATTTAATCTGCAATAAAAAAAACATTGGGCTCAATGGGATTCACTGTCAAAGCAGATTCACATGGGAATCCTCACATGTATAATATTTAGTTAATAATTGTGACACAAAACAATGTGAGCTCTTCTCCACCCCCACCTCCCTCTGTACCCCAATAAAACAATAAACAGATTCTGGAACAAAATTAACTTATGCTAGTTGTATTGAGGAATGATAATAGACTGAAATAAAATGCTTTGGGGTACTTCCTCCTAAATTACAAATAGTTCATTTCTTCTCGTGTTCATTTATGATTTATGATTTATGATTTATGATTTATTGATTTATTTAGCTTTGCCAATTGGCAGGGACACCGCAACAGCTTGCCCCGATTACTGCCGGCCCATTAAACCCACCCATCCCACCCCAGGGGAGGACATCCATCACACAGTAATCTCGTGTGTGGAAAATTAACGTCTGCTACCCCAACCCTGCAGGAGACAGGACCTCCATTTATTCATCCCTATCTGAGAAGACTAGAATATCTAACCATTTCTTGATGTTATAGAAAGGTAGCAAATTCTTCTCAATTATTTTAAGACCCTGAGTGTTGGTCCAGCCGGGGCTCAAACCCTTGACCTCCCGCCCAACAGTCCAGCGCTCTATCCATTGAGCTAACCGGGAGGCGGTTAATAGCATTATGGACATCTATTGTCACAAAGGGGAGTCTTTAAATTAGGATAGATTTCAAATTAACTGGACTGACTTTGTACACCAACATGGTTTCCATTTCATAGATTTGGCCACCAATTTTGCGAGAATAATTTATTGGTAAATCAATGGAGTATGATTTCAAAATGACACTTACCTGTTCTAAAGAATCCCTATGAAACCTCAAAAATGTTTCAATCTTCTCTAACTCTTTCTTCATTTTAGTCTCGGCATGGGATAGAACTGGAATGCCATGGTGAACATAACGGTACAGAGTTTCTAGTCTACAAGCAATTATAGGTTCATATGTTAAGCATGACCATTGTTTAGCACACTATCATTGTAATCAGGAAGCAATCCATTTTCATTTAAAATCCTGAAAATGGATGATTTTTAGGGGAATTTTGAGGTAACTTCAATCTAAACAGTATTTTTGTGGATTGTAATGAGAGACAGTTTCGACACCATGAAACCAGATGACAACAGCACTTCAAACACAGTTCATGGTGCAGGTGAATCTTAGGTCTGCAGAAAACCTTAGGGTTACCAAAAGTGTTCAAAGAAGAGAGGTATCCTATTGTGGGAGGTTAAAAATAGGCTTTTTCTTTGGCTAAGGTATTATTACATGTCCGGTTGGAGGAGGTTTTCAACCAAAGATGGCAGATTGTACATTTTCCTTACATCAAATGTTTTAATACCTTTCAACAAGTTGCATATGTTTCTCTGAGGTATCCACCAGTTTTTCTCCCAGTTTCTCAGCCTGGTCTTTAAGTTGGCTGCTGGCTTTGTCAAGTTTTTTCAAATTTTCTGTCTGCTGTTTCTTCTGATCTTTTAGGATCGAGATTCTAGGAAAAAAAATTTATTTCATTAGAACTGGCTGTCAGAAAAAAACTAAGAGGATTTTCTGATGGATAAGTTTCTTGCTTTGACTAACAACCTGTGTGTCACTTCAAATTTCTGCAGTGAGATTACAATCTTCTAAGTGATAATCTTGTCTCCCTTGTTTAACCCTCCACATTGCTCGTCACATTTCCCATGATACAGACATGGAGAATTTGTTTGATAATTTTAATTAAAAGTCTCTTGTTTGCACTCATTTTCCTTATTCCGATGTCCTTAATAATTGATTCAGCAGTAATGCTGTAAGGAAAAATAGGATCCCAGTCAAAACAGAGAATCCTTGCATTAGTCTAACAACAACTTTGGCCTTCAATTTGAACCAATCTTTAATATATTTTTCATCAGTAGTACTTGTCACGCATTAAGGCTACCTTTTTTCTATCTCTTCCCTGGCCTCATTCTGTTTTTGAATATACTGACTTCTTAATATTTCTTGTGCTTGTATAAGCAGCTGATAAAGTTCTTGTTGTGAGAGTTTTTCAGATTCTTCACCACCCCTGTAAGATGAATGCCGTTTAAATCAGTTAAAGTGAAAAACAAACAGAGAGAAAAGAAAAAAAAAAAGAACAAGAAAAACCAGAGAATTCCTCTCTCAGACTATTAATAGTTATTTGAGGGGTGGGAGGAGGCTGTTGTGATTTATAAACCTGAACTGCTTATTACCCAATCTTATTCTCAAGATCTCCCTTATAATTCTCTTTACTGTTGGCTATATAATTCTTGTGATGTTAGTTTTGAGAATTTGGTATTGGATCAACTACTGGTAATCATCCCCTGATTGTTTGGTATTTTCTTCATTCTTGTCACTCATCTGGTTGATATTGTATTGATAATGTAAGGAGAAATTCTGTCTTGGTCACTCATGGGGGTTAGAGGGTTAATAGATCCATTGTCCATTATCAGTGTCTTTTTTTCTTTTTGCTTATGTGCAAATTCATAAATACATAATGATGCACTCACCGTAACAATGGTGTTGATGTGTTTCTTGTTAGAATTTTCTCAATCTGGCTTTTGAATAATCCAACATTCAGTTGTCTTATTGGAGAAAACCCAGTACTGTAAAAAAACATATCAAAAAGAACCCTTTGAGCAAGATGAAGCAGATTTGTTTTAGCCCCATGACAATGCACTTTCACATTACTTTACCCTTGACACCCTAACACCAGTTTGCACATTCTCCATACTCTTCTCTATACATTTCCTAAATTACTTACAGGAAGAATTTGCATAATAATCAAGAACTTCTTGAACTTGTGACCATTTTCTATATTCTCATGACCTTAATGTTTGATTCAGGAGTGATACTGTTGGGAGAAATCAGATGTTTATCAATCTCAGGAGTTACAGGGTTGACAAATAACAATGTTCCATAACCTAAAGTCACCAGGAGTGTCTACAAAGAAGAGAGGAAAATATTGAGGAAACTTTTTGTAAGTTACAAAACGTTTCCCGTGTTCAGTCCGTGCGGGACTGGTAATCTACGTCGTGTATTGTTGATATTATGGTATGGACCATGTGCTCGGACCTCCAGAAGTAAAAGTTCGGTCCTAAATGTTTGTTTATTTTCTCATAAATGTTTTCGTCACGTTTCCTGCGAGTCCACAAATCTTGTGAGTATGTAGTCACTGTAGTATTTTCGTTTCGCTTCGTTTTGTTTACGTTTGTTTCCTTTTTTGTACAGTCAAACCAGATCTTTGTAAATAAAACCCATATTCGAGTATTCAAGTCTACATTTGCGTTTGAAAGATTTACGTTGGATTCGCTGGTTATCATCTTGGATTTCGTCAATTGTGGAATGGATTACCCGTTCTTTGATTGATCTTGTGCCATCAATAATTTTTTCCTTCGCTTGTGGATCGGTTGTGGATTAACATGGATTCACGTGGGTTGAGAAAGAAAACCGTCGAGGGCATTGCTCATGAGAGAATTCTTCGCTTAAGGTGTAGCCGGTCTGGTTCAAAGGCAGTCGTCACCAGAAGACAGCGCGAATTAATCGAGCTTATGAAGAACTCTGACAATGTTGATCAGGTTAGAGCGAAGTTTCTTGAGTTTGAGTTAGCTATGAGAAATTTTTACGAAGCACATGATAAGTATCACGCTGAGTTGATTGATGGAAGTGCCATTCGGGACTCAATCGAGTATTTTGAATCAGTGAAGCGTGTGGGAACCGCCGTGTTTCAGTCATTTGATGCGTGGTTACAATCAGCTGAGTTTAAGCTCCAAGAAGAATTAGATCTTGCCATTAGTCTTCATCCCGAAGATTCNCGAAGAGCAAAGTCCACCAAAACCATCAGGTCAGTCACCGACTTCACATGAAACTAAGGAGGGAACACTGTGATTGTCCCTGAATGTCAAGAAAATCTTACACTGACCCCAGTAGCTCAATTTTCGACTTCCATCCCATATCGAGATAAAGATAAAGAAACTGTGGAAGTTGCGATTGATCAGACAGAGAGGGATTGCAGTCCTTTAAACCCAGATGCCTGTGGATGGAAAGGTTACACACATTCCCCTTATAAAAGTAGTGGTGAAACTACTGAAAGCAAATTATTGGAACAACATCTAGATCTTAGTCACAAGAATGTCAGTCACACAATTGAGGTTCAGAAGCTGCAACAACAACAAAACCAACAGCTTCAAGAATTACTGAAACAGCAGCAGCTTCAAACATTAGCGATGTCGTTGCCACAGCCAGAAATCTCGGTATTTTCAGGCCATCCTGTTAAGTACTCGGATTTTGTACGAGCGTTTGAGAATTTGATAGAGTCAAAGACAAGCAGCCCGAGCTCTCGTTTGTACTATCTCGTCCAATATACGTCTGGGGAAGTGAAGGAGTTAATGCAGAGCTGTTTGTCAATGGATCCCGCAGAAGGCTACAAGACTGCAAGAGCACTCCTCAAGGATACATATGGTGAAAGCTACAAAATAGCGACTGCTCTCATTGATCAAGTAACAAAATCTCCTCAGATTAAGGCAGATGATGGTCCTGCTTTGCAAAGGTACTCTGTTCTACTTACAAGTTGTAAGAACTCGCTCCAAGAAATTGGATACTTGAGCAAAATCGAAAACCCTGACACTCTCCAAAGGATCATTGGAAGGCTGCCACTTGGGCTTAGACAGAGATGGCGTGAAAAGGCTGACCACATCACAGGGGATTTGAAAAGGGAAGTTACTATTGGAGATATTGCAGAATTTGTTGAAGCAAAGGCTAGAATCGCCAATCACCCAGTGTTCGGGAACATCTATTCAAACGAAGACAAGAACACTGCTGCAAGCGCTGGTTCCAAACGAAGACACAGAACACCATCAAAGGAGCACAAAGGTTCTGCTTTCACAACACATGGAACTACTCCAGAAAGTCCCACTGACCCTCCTAAGGACAACACCGAAAATGTGCCGAAGAAGTCGAATATTAAGTGCCCACTGTGTAAAGAGAGTCATTGGCTGTCACGATGCCAGCTGTTCAGAGGAAAGACTGTCGACGAGCGAATTACTTTTGTGCGTAGTAGAGGACTGTGTGATAATTGTCTCGTGGCAGGACATATGGCAATGTCTTGCCCCAAGCAGAGCTACTGCCAGATAGTCGGATGTAAGATAGGTCATCGAAAACATTCTACATTCTTACACCCGAAGAATGACAAACCAGCCAAAACAGAACCTGCATCAACATCTGAGACTCAGTCGAGCAACACAGACAATGAGAAGCAAAATCATCGAGCACGAAGCTGTTTCACCGAAGTGGTTGCGTGCGAAGGAACGTGTAGTGCCACTGGGGCCGGAGCGTCAGCTACAGGACTTGCCATAGTTCCAGTTAATGTCAGAGCTAAGGGAAAGGAGAAGATGGTTCAAACCTACGCGTTTCTGGATCCAGGATCGAATACTACGTTTTGCACTAACAAGTTGATAGAACGTCTGGTGTGCTGTCCATCT